AAACAGAATGATCCCTCTAAAAATGGCTAAAGCCAGAGATTTCTGGCCCCATCAGCACCACTTCCACCAGCCTCACCCCCAGCTGTCATCACACTGAACCCTTGTCTCTCATGGATGTTTTCCCCATGCTCCTTCTTTCCAAGTTCCATCAGCCATGTCCATCCCATGGCACAGCTGCTCACTAATGTACAGATGGAAGAGTTTACCTGTGACTCCTGCCTGTCCTTCTCCCTCTCCAGATGTGTCAGCAAGGCGGTTATTACTCAGAAGAGGCAGATAAAGGGAGAAGCCACCATGGGGAGGTGCCCTTCAGACAGGATGTTTGGAGCTGAACATCCTGTGGGCCAGTTCAAAGCACCCTGAGTCAACCACCTTTCACAACCTGGGCCACCTCCTGTCTGCTATTAAAAAAACAGCCAACAACTCTCCTGGAGTTTGCCACAAAAATCAGAATAAGCAGGCAATCCTGTTCCCATGGCAACCATGTGTAGTCAGTCGTTAGGATGGGGCTGGGGATGACTGGGGAAAGAGCCAAGCAGAGAGAAGGCGGCAGCAAGGTCTGACAGAGTTCTGCTGGAAGTCTGTGAACTGGGCTGCCAGAGACATGGCAACCCTTTTAGGAGATCCAATCTTATAAAAGTTGCCTGAGGACAGGAGATTTTGGGCCAGGAGCTCACAAACCAGAGCAGAGCCTTTGTGAACTTCACCTCCCAGCCCACAGCAGCTGAGAAATGGGGGCCATGGCCCTCTCTCCCTCAAAAGATGGGCAGGAAGGACACAGCACCCTGTTTCCACTCCTTTTCCTCTTTAATACAACAACACTGCCCTTCACCACACAACCACAGCCACCTCGAAGCTGCTGCCCATCCTGCTGATGGCTGCAGAGATGAGCAGTGCAAGTGCTTCAGGCAAATAAATACCTCAGGCCACCCGAGTGGCACCACCTCAGAGACCTTCCTAAGCCCCTGACCCAGGTGCAGCCACATTCTCAAGCCAGCAGTTCTCCTAGGAAGTTGTCTATTTCTCTCACTCATGTTTCCAAACCCACCCCAAGCAAGCTTGCAGGATCAGCCCTGCCCAAAGCCAGTGACCCACAGAAACCCAAGGCTGGAGCAGTGCAGAAGCAAAGCAGCCTCCCCAGGATGCAGGGCTGTGGTCCAGCACAGAAAAGCCACCAAGCCATAGCCAGGAGCCTTTTATTCCCATTATCATCATATCAAGTGGGAGGAAGGAAGGAAGGAAGGAAGGAAGGAAGGAAGGAAGGAAGGAAGGAAGGAAGGAAGGAAGGAAGGAAGGAAGGAAGGAAGGAAGGAAGGAAGGAAGGAAGGAAGGAAGGAAGGAAGGAAGGAAGGAAGGAAGGAAGGAAGGAAGGAAGGAAGGAAGGAAGGAAGGAAGGAAGGAAGGAAGGAAGGAAGGAAGGAAGGAAGGAAGGAAGGAAGGAAGGAAGGAAGGAAGGAAGGAAGGAAGGAAGGAAGGAAGGAAGGAAGGAAGGAAGGAAGGAAGGAAGGAAGGAAGGAAGGAAGGAAGGAAGGAAGGAAAACAAGAGGCTGTGCCATACACCCACCACTGCTCACTTCCAACGGTGCCTGAGAAGAAGGATGAATGGAACAGGGATGAGTACACCTACAAAAGGGTCCTGGGAAGCTCACAGTAGCAAAGGGAATTCTACAAATGCAATTTCACCCAAGCTTAAGCTTAGGAACTTGTTACAACATTAAATCCAAGCATAGGGAGGAATACAACCCTCATGGGAGTTCTTCCTCACAGACCTACCCCTGAAAATAATGCAGGACAAAAAGATACTGTTTTTGCAGCAGCACCACCTGCTGAAGGGGACCTCTTTCAGCTCGGTTTTCCTTCATGCAATCACCTACCTCTACAGACCCCTACCCCAAAGGGCAAGAAGCTGCTTCCCAAGCAGTAAGAGTCAAGCCCTTAGAGAAAGTGGGGAAAGATGAAGTGGGAGTGCAGCAGCTGGAGAGTTGATGGGAGGAACAAGGCCCAGCTGGAAAGTATCTATACAGAGGATCAATGTGCCTTTTTCCATAAAGGGCCAGTAAAGAGTAAAGACCAGAGAGAAAGCCTCTATGAAAAGGGCAAGTTAAGTTACAGACAGTGAAGGAAGTTTTCAATGCCTTAAATAGTTGAGAAAAGGAGGTTTCTTTTAAACCATCCTCATGAGAAAAATGAGGATTTAACTCTGAGAGGTGGTTGGGAGAAAAGATAGCAAATCCCTCAAAATCCCCTAGCAGGTCACTGAAACTCCATGCATGGTAAAATTACTGTGGCCACAAATGGATGTGATTCCATTTCAGTTCTTTAGGAATATACCCCTTCTTACTCCTAGGAACAGACAGAGGGACACAGAGCTGTGTCCGACTCCCTCCAGCTCCTCAAGCAAAACCCTGAATTGAATTTGATTTTGTATTTTTGTTTTTTCTTTTTCTCTCAGCTCTAACTGCAACATCTCCCTGAAGGTTCATCATCAGCCTCAGTGCTAATGAAAAAATGTAATAATATTTGTCTCCTTCCTGGGGGTGGTGGGAGGCACAATCTAATTAAAGGTTTGCCAGCAGCTTGAGTGCTGCAGATGGATGGTTGTTTGGGAAGTGCAAAGTATTATTATTATGACGAATGATAACACCACCTTTCATAAACAGGCAACAGGTGGCAAAAGCAGAGGCAGGGCTTGTTCTGCTGCTACACCTTAATTTCAGCCTCACATAAAAGTGGTTGTGCGGGTTGCAGCAGGAGATCCTATCTCTGCCCCCAGGAATGAGTGGCTTGTGGATGGGCTGTGCTGGCTCCTGATGAAGGGTTTGTATTTCCAGCTGCAGGAAGAAAATGCTGCCAGGACCTTTAGCTGCTTTGGGGGTGTTGTCTGGGCTCCTTTGTAAAAGAAGGGCAGGATCAGCAGTTCCTTCTGGCTGTGGATGAACAGGACACCTGAGTGACAAAATCAAACATCAGACTACAGTTACACAAGAAAAAAACATCCCTGAGACACCACCTAGGGATCCTGCTCTTTTTAAAATCAGTGTGGATATGGATACAAGCACTCTCCCAGCGCACTCCAGCTGCATGGCTGATGGGTCCAGCACAGAGACACTTTAACTCAATGTATAGAATCACAGATTGGTTTAGGTTGGAGAAAGCTTCCAAGATCATCAAGTACAAATATTATATGCTGAAAAACATGATCCAGAACAACTGTTTGATATTAATGTTATATTAAAAGCAAGTGTCCATCTAGGACTGTCCTAAAATATCCACCACTCAAGAAATAATTGTGAGGATGGCTTAAGGTTGCACCTCTATATAATAAGCCATCTCTGCACCACTGATCCACACACCTTCATACCTTGTTTGGGTGTCTAAACTATTTAGAAACTGTTTTTAGTTGAAATGAAAATCATTAATTGTCATGCAGAAATGAACCCAAACTGTATTTCCTTCCTTAATCACATGCTGGATCTCTCTTCCTTTCCTGACCTTCGTACCTTGGAAAAGAATGTGCTCCAGAGCTGGAAAACAAATTAGTGAGTGCTTTGCTGACAGCCCTGGGATGTTTGTGGGAGCAGGGAGTTAATGAGGCAAACAGAAACTATTCCAGACACTGGGTGCTGTGGAGGGAAAAGGTGTTTTGTTGCCATACAGTGACAGGAGCCAAAGAAAGGAGGGGGGGAAGGAGACAGCACCTCGATTAAGAGCTGTGAAGAATTAAATAAACCCCATCCCAATTCCAAAAGCAAAGAGTGCTTTTAGAACCAAAGTCAGCTTTCATTTGTGCCCTGTGCTTTCATTGTGCCCTGGAATGGAAAAAACCTCTGGCTTTCGAGGGTGGGAAGGAGGAAGATGACTGCATCCAGCTTGGATCTGTTCCTAGTTCAACAGCAGCTGCTGCCCTCCCGTGGCTGTTTAATGGGAATAGTGATGCTTGGGCTGTTTCCTAAAAGAAAATAATTCACACAAGACCAGAAATAATTCAGAGCATCACACAAGGCCTTTTTGCTCTTCAATTAACCCTTCCCTGTCCTGCAGCAATCCCATTAACTTGGTTTGTCCCCTTCCTCGTGGAGGGGAGGGGGGTCTCTGCCATTAGCAGGTGACATCTGCAGAATGGTTTGTGTCTTCCCATAGCAGCCAGAGGAATTTGTGATGTTTGGAAAAACTATTCTGCCTTGGCAGAAAAAAAGATACCTACAAAATGCTCCTCATGTTCACTGGTTACAACTCATGAGACCCAGTCAGGAATTTATGAGATGGATTTATGGAGATGCAGCTCTGCTGCTTCATTCTCATCATGCCCAGTCTGTTTGCAGCTCCCAGTATCCAGCCCTGCAAAATAAACCAGCTCAGCAGTGGATATACAGGAAAGCTGGCATTCAAGGAAAGCTACTCTTTATAGCAGAGTCAATAAGCAATAAAATTCAGGCTGCAGTCTTTATAGTCTGTGACAGGCTCTTTGCACAAGGGGAAAAGGGTTAAAGGACAAGCTTTGCCTTCCCTTGGACCTGTGCAGTCATGAACATGAGCACAAAAATCTCTTGCAATCCATCCCCCACTACACAGAAGGGAGAAGATCTCAGTGCAGAGCGTCCTTCAGGCCCTGGGGTTTGAGACATTAACAATGGCAATTTATGTTGTGCTGGTGGTTATTTTATTTATTTATATATACAGATGTGCATATATAATTTTTTTTAATCCCTGCACTAGCATGTTTTCCTTCTGTCTAGGAGGTGATACTTCCAGTCACTTTTGCAAGAAATTAGCTATAAAAGGTAGCCTAAAACAAACCATGTGTTTGTTTCATCTTCCTTTCCAAGCTGGGGGGCTTTATTTCAATGGAAAACTGGGACATTTCATGAATCCCTGCTGCATGGCCATTTATCTTACAGTCCTTCAGGATTTGCAGGTCTGAGGGATGGATTTTTCTAAGCTATTATTACACACTCTATAATTTATCAGTCTTAAATTTAAGGATATAAGCTCAGTGAGGATTTTTATTTCACATTTATTTACTCTCTTAGCCTTTAAGTTAACATGAAAATTATTAACAAAACCCCTCTTTAGTTCAAAGCTTCAGTAATAACATTTGTATTGTGCACAATCAAGCCCTGGTGTTGCAAAAATTGCCATAATGTCACATTCAACACTCTCTTACTCGTCCTCCTTGGGGTGATGCCTTGCTCCAGAGGTGCATGACCTCAGCCTGGAGATTTCCCTGACTTCAGTCACAGCAGGTCACAGCCTCCAGGCTCTTGGAAAAGTCAGCTGGCCAAAGGACGCTCTCTATCCCTATGGGAACATACAGAGGAGCCCATAGAATGAAGTAATCCTGTCACATTGAATATCCATGCTTTGTTTTGCTGCTAAAAATCACTTCAAGCTGTGCCTGTGTCTGAGCCAGAGGTATTTGGGTATGGATGGAGAGCAGCCACCCCTGTGAGCTCAGTCTTCCCCCCAGCAGAACCACAGGGGCACCTCTCACTCTTCCAAAACAAAAATATTTCATTCTATTTGTTTCTTCTGGAAAATGGACTGTTCATGTATTTGGAGCAGGAGTTTGCACACTCTTCACTCTTCATCGGAGCCATTCAAGAAGGCGGCTTGGGAGCTGCTGTCACACTTCTGCTGCCGGACCCCCAGGCTGATGTAGGGCTCTACACTGCCTCTCTGGAGCCTCTGGATACAGCTGCAGCATATGAGCAAGAAATAATTATTTTAAAAACCCCCAACCTAATGCCACTCACCAGAACCCTCATTCTAGAGGTCCTAAAATGCTGTTGATGGGGGATTGAAAGGTTTTCATTCTGTATAAAGTCTATTTGAGGGCATGGACTGAACTATCCATTCTGTAGCTTACACAGCATCCCTCAGAGCATCCCTTAAAGTGGGATAATCTTCCCATCCCCTTGGAAAAGCCAAACTGGGGGCTGGTAATGTTTTATTTTTGTACCTCTAAGAATTTAGTGACCTTCAACCACTTTGAAATCCTTGCAAGGCAGGGGATGATGTGCCAGGGAGTCCTGGTGTCGTGGTTTGACAAGGGAAAAGAATTTTCTCGGAAGGAAGAGGTCAGTCCAGTCAGGGGTCAGGTTTGGATACTGACACTTGGGGTGACCAATTGAAGGTGGACACGCCTCTGAGAACACAGAGGGGTTAAAAGCAGAATTCCCAGGAGGACTCGTCCTTCTTTGGTTCCGGTCATCGCATGATACGGACCTCTCCCCAGCCCAGGCTGGCTGGGGGAGGGGAGCCATGCGGCCTGCAGAGGTAGGCCAGGGGGTGAAGGATCGGAACCGAGCTGGGCCAGCTCCTGCGGACGGAAGGGTGGAGAACATCTGGGATGTCTTTGTTCCCCCTCCCCTAAGCTAGAGGGAAAAGAGATAGAGAGTCAGCAGACACCTGGGAGTTTGCTGACAGAGGAGAAGGAGAAGGCGGGGGAAGATGCCCAGCGTGGGAGACTGGGAGACTGGGAGACGGAAGACGGAGTCCTGGGCTGAGATTTCAGCCGTCCGGGGAGTCCGGGAATTTTAACCCTTTCCTGTGAAATGAAGGCTTTGTGAAATATTTCTCCTCCTCAATTTGAAGGAAAGAGAGACAGCCTGGGACCTCAGATGTTAGGGAAAGAAGGTTGGGGGGAGATGATGGAGTGGCTTTTGGCTGGACTCTTCTTGTTAACCATAGACTGAACCAATCCTTCCTCCAAGAGAGACTGCATTTTAGGGGCATACAATGGTGAGCCAAGAAACTCCTTCAGCAACTACCAGTTCAGGAATGAACAGAGAAAAGCTGAGGAGGGTGTGAGGATGCCCTCCATCTTCAGAGAAGAAGAGAAGGCGATCTCTGTCCTTGGACCCTCGGCCCCAGGGGAAAATGGGGGGGACTGTAGTCCCAAAATGAGACACTGGACTGTTGTTATTGTTGGTCCTTGGCAAAGCATCCTTAAAGGAGCCCTATAAGCAGTCTCTGTCCATGCATGGTGGTGAGAGCACTGTGACATGGAGAGGAGAGTATCACACTGGCCGGTGTGTCTGGGCGGTGCCACGTGTGACACAGAAACACAAGAGGTGGCAGCTGTGTTTCCTGGGGGTCTGTGGTGCAAGGGAGACTCCTCTCTCCCCTGATGGACTCAGTATTGATTATGTGGAAGGGTGAAGACTTGATTAAGGGTCCAAATGTGTCTCGCTGTGATTTGTTGGAGTTGGGTGGTGGCAGGAGGAATGTTTTGAAAGGTTTTCGTTTCAAATTTTGTGTGTGGTTTTTTTTCTTCCTTTTTTCTTTTATAGTAGTAGTAGTGGTAGTGTAATAAAGTTTTTCCTTTGTTATTGAGGAGCCTGCTTTGCTCTGTTCTCGGTCGCATTTCACAGCATTCAATTGATAGGTTGCATTTTCATGGGGGCGCTGGCATTGTGCCAGTGTCAAACCATGACATCTGGTAATGCTTTCATGTCTCTGTCAAACTAAAGTTTGACTTCAGCACTAATTGCAGAGGAAAATAAGCAGTGTGACTTCCAGGAGCACCTCTAGGGACTCAGTTGTATGACTTCTTCCTATTTAATGCACATGCCTCTCGCTGACACTGTTTTGCATTCGGTGCACTCAATAAACACGTGCCCTAAAACCTGCAGTAGTGTGGACTGCTTATTCAGCTGTGATTTTGTACTGCAGGAAGGGCTGGGTTACATCTGTCTCATTATAGACATCCCACCCTGCCTGCCTACCTCAGACCAGCCCCAGTTCCTGTCCCAGCCCTGTCCCAGGCGTACCAGTAAGCGAGGGTGTAGTTCACAGCCAGGATGGCCACAGCAGCTGCCCAGTGCCAGAAGAAGCACATCGTGAGGAACATGATGTTGCTGTGGTCGTTCTCATCCCACACGGGACCTCCCCATGGCTGGAACAGCACAACACCGATCTGGGTAGAACAAGAAGTTGGTGAAGCAACTATGTTGGGAAAAAAATTATAGAATCCCAGAATGCCAGAATGGTTTGGGTTGGAAGGGACCTTAAATAACCTGTGCTGGAACCTCATCACCCTCACAAAGAGTTACCTTTATTCATGTAGTGACCAAGGAACTTGACCCCTGATCAGGATGGAGGTTTTTGCTGAGAGTGAAGTCCATCCTTGCAATAAGAGGCCACACAAAGTAAATCTGTGCCCAAGATATCTCTTTTTCTGTTCAATATCCAGACACAATTGACCCTCAGCATTCCAAAGTCCAAGCCATCCTTTTAATACTCCAGATTTAGTATTTTACAAGCTCAGCCCAGTTTTTTACCTCTGATTAAACGCTGGTTTGAGTTAGTACAGCCTTGAAAAAGAGAAGAGAAAGTAGTTTGGTTTTGGGGTGGTTATTTTGGTTGGTTTTTTGTTTGGTTTTGGTTGGCTGGTTGGTTGTTTTGGTTTTGTTTCTTTTTTGTTTGTTTGTTTGGGTTTTTTATTTTTTTGTTTTGACAACTTAGTTTTGAGAGCAATTATATCCAATTGATTTCTTTGCTTTTCCAACTCCTACCAAAACAAGCAGCTGGCTTTATTTTAACTTAGCTGTTTTATTGCTGGTGGGATTTGTATCTTTCCACTAAACCAGAGGGAGGGCTGCAGGGAGCATTAGACATATTAAGCAATTAGTACTTGGTCATTAGGTACTGCAAAATGTTGCTCACTTGCTTTTGCTATTCCCCCTGTACAAGCAATAAGCCAAAACAAACATCTCTTGCAGCAAGAGCAGCCATCAGAGATGACCTGTGATAAGTAAATTTTCATTCTGGGTTATGAGTTATTTATGAAGTGAGCCTGGCAAAATAATCCTTGGGAGGTGTGTGATTGATACATGACACTTGTTCCCCTCTTTTCCCTTTGCTTCGTTGCTCTGGGAAGGCAGAACAGACCTGCCAGAACCATGTTCCCTGGACAATGGTGATGTGGGCTCGGAACATCTCCAGGACAATGTTGTCACGCAGGAAAACCTCCAGTAGGATGCTGCCAGCCCCAGCAAAGATGGTGATGAGCAGCAGGGAGTGGATGTGCTGATCCAACATGGGGCGGTGAAGGACGTGGTAATAGAAGAGACAACCTGCCAAAACACGAGGCCTGCTTAGAGCAGCATTAACAGCAGCCGTGGCCACCGAGCTGAGTAAATCACCTGCCTGGATGGTAAATTGAGACAGGCCATCGTGGAAAGAGGGGACTCCACATAGCACCATCCCCTAGGCCTCCTGGCATCCCAGCATCCAGGAAGATGCCCAACCTTGGGGCAGGAGGATCTGAGCAATACAGTGACCAAGGACGGGGTCATTTTCTTCCCACTTCTGTGCCGACACCTCTTCAGATGACCCTTCCCTTCTAGCCAGGCTTCTGCTGTGTCCTTCTTTCTCATTGCTAAACTTCACCATGTTTTGGGAGCTGTAAATGATAGGTTTCCTGGTCTTACATGCCGAAGTGTACATGTGGAGCTGCCTCAAAAACTGATGTGATTGGGAAAGGAAAAGTAACAGGAGCTATGCGTTCATTAAGGAGGGTTCTATATAAACAAGACCTTCCTTTCCCATATGAGAGTGTTGGAACTAGATGATCCTTAAGCTTAGCTTCCTTCCAAGCCAAGTCTTTATATGATTCTATGATCCAAAAGGGGTCTGGAATCCTAGCTGGTGACTTGCAAGGCAGCCTGAGGACAGAATGATATTGGTGAAGCGCTGAAGCCGAAAGAAATCACTTCAAATTGCCATGTGCCATGCAAGGGATCAGGCTAATGATGCCTGCAGTGCAATTAATGGCTCTCAGGGGGAACATGGGGCAGGAGAACAGCCTGTGGATGGCAGAGGAATGCAGAGTTCACCAACCATTTATCATAACAAGGAACCTCATTCTGCTGCTTTGCAATGCAGTAGCCCCAGAAATTCCAAACCAGAACCTATCCAGAACTGTATTTCCCATCTCATTCCATCCCAGCCTGCCCTGTGTCCTATCTCCAGAGGCATCTGGAGCCATATCTCAGTCAGGCAAATTTTAGCCCTCCTCTGACTTGGTCCGCAATATCCCTCCCCGAATTAAGCACCACCTTCTACCAACCTTCAACAAACACGGCCACAGCCAACATAAGACGATCCAGACCCTGCGGCACCAGCTGGGACATGTAGGTGAGGACATCTACCACCCCGGAGAGGCCGTAGAAGAGGTACATGGTGGTGTGCTGCCAGTTCATCAGCTTCACCCAGTCGTGCTTCTCCCCACTGTACAGGTACAAGTGGGGACCATCGGGGACAAACTGTTCCGCCAGCATCCCTGCAGGACATCCAAGAGCATGGAGTTTCTGGGGGTTTAGTTGCAATGGTTGAGCCTACTCCTTTCTGCTGTGGGTTCTGGGGCAGGAGCTGGTGAGTTTGCATTAGGGAGAAAAGACTGGATGGAAAAATCAGGCCTGTGTTCAATGGCAGCTCAGCTTTGGGAGGGGGTGTGAGACTTGTTTCCACATAAAACTATACCAGAGATCAAGTCAAGATGGACATCAAGGATGCATCCAGGCTGCCCAGGGGAGTGCTGGAATCACCATACTTGAAAGGATTCAAAAATACGTAGATATAGTGCTTAGCTTCATGGTTTAATGGTGGACGTGGCAGTGGTTAGTGGTTGGACTCAATGATCTAAGAGGTCTTTTCCAGCCTTAAAGATTCTCTGATCCTTCCACATCTAGACCAGTTTCTGTGGAGTCAGGCCTCCTGTACAGTCATCAGTGTAGGCCAGGTGAATACTGCCATAGCAAGTGAAATAAAACCCTTACCTATTAGAGAAAAGAGGATTTTGATTCCCCCTTCAATGGCATCCACACGCTGGAAACAGTAAGCCCTGTAGGATTTTTTATTTACTTTCTGGCTGAGATACTGCAGTGGGTATTTCACTGACCACCAGAGTCCAAAGAGCAGGAAGAAGCTGCCTGGAAGCGCATGACCCTTAAAATTCGCCATCCTGTCAACCTCTTCTGACTATAAGGCAAAGAAGAACAATGTAATTATTCCATTTACAAAAGTTATTTGGCACAACAATGGGGGAAAAAATAGGATTTCCCCTTCAGGGAGGACTGGAGTAGGCTTGACCAAGCCCATGGGAATAGGAAAGAGTACAGGGAACCACTGAGACCTCTCTGAGGTCCTTGCCCCAAGATTAGGAAATGTCAAAAAAAGCCACAGTTTTTTCAAAGAAAGCCCCAAATCTGCTGCAATGTCTGATACATCTCAGCCTGAACCTTTAATTCCAAGGATCCCTCTCAGCAGTAGGTCCTGCTTTTCTTGCTCTTCTGAAAGTATTAACATAAGGATCTGCTGCTGACCAGGACTTTTCAGGACCAGGTAGGAGAGATAATACACAGGGAAAACAGGAACGTCTAGGAGTAAACAGAATAATGTTTCTTAAGCTCCATGAACAGCCATGGAAGTAGTGTGCAAAGTCCAAAATTTTTAAAAATCTCTGGATTTTTTTTCCATTTCAGGCCATGGAAGAGGTGAAAAATCCTGCATCTATTCCACAAACCAAAGCATTTACTTAAAAATATACCTTCAAAAATACCCCAAAAGCTGCTGGAAACAAAACACTGTGGGTTTGGGCAAACAAATCAAGTAATTCCCTGCATCCTGACCTACTCACACTTCTTCTTCCCTCTCCTGAGCATCCTTAAACCAGGACTTGCACCAAGCTGCTGGAACCTCTGTGCCAGAGTGCACACACGCATGGTTTGCAGGATGCTGGGAGACCCATTTCCTGGGAGAATTACAGCAATTAAATCCAGCCAGCTCCTGTTTGCTGTTTGCTTAATTAGGTTGAGAAGTGACCAGCTCTTTTGTGTGGGTCCAACCATATGTTTGAGGGCTGCCTTGGTGTGAGGTCGTGTCAGACTGGGCAATTAAGAATGTTTTAATTTATAACAAGGCTGTGCTGTTGGTGCTCAGGACTTCCGTTTCTGTTTAGTAACTTCTCTGTGCCAATCCACTCTTAACCATGGGCAAAAACTGTCTCCATTGTGGAGTGGATGCTGTCCCTCCACATAGCAGGAGTTGCATGGTTTGGACCTGGATTTGACCTCCCCATCTCAGACATCCTGATTATCCTGAAACTGCCTTCCCCAGCAGCATTTTGGTCTTCAGTCACCACTTGCTGAAAATATTAAAAAAAAAATGTGCTTATTCTGCTGTTGCACAAGGGATAATTTGCGTTTGGGGTTAAACACGAGTTGTTACTGTCAGCCTTGGAGAAAGGGAGTTGATTCTTTGGTTTATTACTACCCGATTTCAGGTCGGTTTGTCCCAGGGACACCTTGTTTCATCCCTTGAAGTCCACGGCTGGTGCAGATACCATCTCCCAGAGGACTCTGTCCCCGAGCAGGAAAATCCATAGGGTTAAATCTGATCTCCTAAATCCCTGCAACCAACCTGCCTGATCCGAGCAGCTTTAGCCAAACAGCTAATCCAACAGCTTGAGCTAAGCAAACATTGGCTCCATGTGCAAACACCACCCTGGTACATGCAGCCACACAGGGCAGCACACAGGGCCGATGTCCCTGCAGTGCCACCAGGCTGGTTTCCATCCTGTCTTCACCAAGCACCTCTGAGCTATCCCAGTGGGTTCCTGAAGATTAATTTAGGGGGGATTTAATCCAAGAGTGGAAAAGCTGTGCATGGATAGGGCATAGTATGAGCTGGCAGCTTTTCAGGTCACTATTAGCACTGCAGGGTTATGCCTTATTTCATGACTTAAAAGGAAAGATTTATTGACATAGGCCACATGGCTTCTCCCCTCGTTGCCAGGCAGGAGAGAGTCCTATACTTACTGCTAACCAGAACTCAAGAGAGCAAATTTTCCTATGAATTGTGCTTTTAACCCCTCTGTGTTCTCAGAGGCGTGTCTACCTTCAATTGGTCAATGTCTAAATTGACCTCTTCCTTCCAGAAAAATTATTTTTCCGTGTCAAACTACGGCACTGCATTGGGTAATTAAACAGAAAATCAAAGCAAGATGTTGTTTACCAGCAGGGCTAGCACAGTCCAGTGGGTTAATACAATCATTTCTGCAGTCCTTTGAAAGGGGCAATTGGGGAATGGGAACATCCAACTGTTTCCCTGTGATTAAGGGAGCAGCATTCCCAAGCCATGGAGAGGGCTGAAAAAAAATCTGTATTTTCTGGATGAGTAGAGAATCTCATCATATACATGAAAAGGAGGTAATTGTTGGGAAGGATGGATAAATATAATTGCCTGGCGAAAGATTCACAATAGTACAGCCAGGATGAAAACAATCCCCCGTACTGGCTGGATAATACCCTTACCTACAGATAGGTCCAAAAGTCAAATGGTCTGTTCGATCTCACCCCAATGTATGGTTCACCCCACACCTGTAACCCTCCTCTGAAACATCAAGTGTCTGTGACCCCATTGGCCCAAGTCTTGTTCCAGCCCACCTTGAAACCCCCTGATAAGGGGTCTCCGGGGGACCAGAGGCCCTCTTGGTTCCTCCCCTCTCTTAGATCTTCCACCCTCTCCTAGAACTCCTTGTCTCTCCCCTCCCCCAGTCCCTCAGGCCCTGCCACGTGCTGCGTCTGGCAGCTCCAAGCAAGACCTTTCACCATCCCTAATAAACCCGATATTCTAAGAGCAGCCTTCAGAGATCTCTCGTCTCCATTCATCAAAACCATCCTGGAGAACAGTGCTCCCTACAAGGTAATGGCTTTAAACTGGAAGATGAGAAATTTAGATCAGGTACAAGGAGGGATGGCGAAATATATCAGGATAATAACTGGAAGCAGAACCAAACCCATCCCAGAATACCACAACAAGAAGGCTTGATGCCATATCCTGCTGTATTAATGCTACAATTATAACATGACCATAGCAATATACAGTCAAATATATAACTGATGTAGCTCTTGCAGTTACATATTAAAGGCTGATGTAAAGTGAGGCCTGATGGTTTTCCAGCTGAGATTGATGCAGTCAAACTGGGATGACCTGAAGGATACACTGATCAATCACAATTAAAAGATCAGCTAAGTAGGGTATGCACAGCCACCTTACAGTGCTTATGTGATCTGGGCTGAGCTCAGGGGGTCATGGGGACTCTTTTGGGTTTGCTGGTCTCTGTTCCTGCCTTATAGCAGGGAGCACATGGCTCAGCTGGGACATGTGACCAGCAGAACTATTTCTCAGGCTTCTCTTCCTCCCCTGAAAACATGCAATGGGTAAGCACAGGGGAACAAACCAACCACAGTTATGTTGTGCCCTGAGACAAACAGTTCTTGTTTATCCCTGTAGCTCCAAAGGAAGTGAGACATGCTTACGATCAGCAGAGAAAAGAACAAGCTGAAGGTCCAGTGGGTGTTGGTGTTGGTGGCCACAGCCACCATCCCAGGGCATCCCTGCTGAACATGATTTTGTCCTTTCCCTCATCACCCAGCCGTGTTTAGCAACACCCTCATGTCCCTGCTGGCTTGTCATTTGTGTTCTTTACCCCCGTTTACTATGGTGCCCTACACTGTGTCTGCTTAATTATTTACTCTTATCTGCTCTTATCACCTCCCAGAGGAGCTGGTTTTTCTTGGTTTACAGCTAATGCACCCAAACCAGCAGGGGAGGCATCTGGAGGATGGTAAAGAGTCTGAAAACCTGACTAGGCTTTCACCTCCTTCTTTGCACACTACCTTGACAGCCACAAACTCACTTTTTAGCCACAACTTGGGCCATTTTACTATTCCAAATATTTCATTTGGTTTCCTGAGGGAGTTGTTTTGTTGTGTTTTGTTTTGTTTTTTTTCCAAGTCCATTGATAGTGTCTCAGTCAAGGCATCACTTCCATTTTCCCCAGCTAGGAAATTACAGTCTAAAGTTCACCAGTGGGAAGAGCTAACAGCCATCACCCCTACAATTAACTTTGCCCTTCAACCTGTGTGAATCAGGTGGTTCAGACACACCAGAGCTGGTTTGCTCACTGTACCTGTGCTTGGCTCTCAGAGCATCTGTGGGTGACAGGGATGGTCCCCAGGGAAAGGCTGACTCAGGGGAGAGGAGAAATGTCTTGACTTGCAAAAAACCACCCAAGCTGAGCTCAGGCTGAGGTGAGGAATGCCACTGAGATGTGTATCTGGAAATAATGGAGCTATTTCCATCCTTCCAGAGGGGCTTTTGTGTTGAATCTGCAGCTGCAAGAGCGCATAAAATCCAGACCTACAGACCAACAGCAGCTGAGGTGCTGGGCTCAAAAAAACCATCCTCAGTCAGCCCCTTCCCCATCCTGCATGTTCTCTGTGTGTCTCTCTAAATACAACATAACCCCACCACCCAAACCTAATGGGGATGGCAGTGAGTGAGCTATCTCTCCCTCTGAGGACAGAGAGATGGCAGGAGACATTCAAAAGGTATCAGGAGAGGCATCAATGACAATGATAAGTTCTCCTGTGCCCTGTGCTGCCTCACTCATTACCAGCACTGTCTTATTTTTCTGCAGGGGCATTTGTAATCATAGCAGCACTTCCATTAGCTCCCACAGGAACTGGATCCCTAATGCATTAATGTCAGGCTAAAACCCCACTCTGAACCATTTCATCTCATTATCGTCAGGCTCTCTTCTTCCTCTGTCTCTGTCTGCACCAGGGAGTGTTAACAGTGACAATGAGCAATCTTCTTCCTCATACTGGTAAGTTCAGCTGCAGCTGCAAAAGCAGGAAAGCAACATTTCTGCATCTAAAGAATCCTTAAGGGATTTGGACTTAGGTTAAAAAATTATCATCATCATTGGACACTATTAGGCTCAATTTCCAGGATGTATCCGAAGGACCATCAGGTACTGCAGGAGCTTATGCAGTGGCTGCAGACAGAGAACACAAACTGAGATAATTCATCCTCCTGAAATGGGCAAGTTCAGCGTGAAAGTTCAAACAGGGATGAAAGCTTTGAATTCAGGATGCTGGACTAGAGGTCTATTTAATAGACACAATGGATCCACCTGGAAAGAGACACTAAGGGAGAGAGATACAAAAGCTAGTAATGGAGAGGTTATTCAGCTTTCTGCTTCCTCTTCCTTATGCTGCCTCCATTTTCTCCTGTTTTATAAGTCCCTGGTTTGGATTCTCCACCCCTATCCTTGCTCTGAGCCATCATCAGGGAAGCAGCAAGAAGCTATATCCCATCAAAGAAAGCTGAGAGATAAATTAGCCAAAGCCTAATTACAGGGGCTCCGAACAGGCACTTCATCATTCCTTCTCTTGTGACCTGCATTTGTTTATTTGTGGTTTTAAGACAGGTCTGACTTTAAAAATTACATGTTGGGGGAAATGCACTTTACCATCTCAAAAGCCATTTTTCTTTGCTTCTACGTGATGGTAAAGAGATTAAAGTGCTTTCTAAAGGAGTGGATGCCATCTGTGCCCTGAACTGTCTCCCTTGTTCCATGATGTGTAATGGGGCAGCCCTGACTCCAATAATCCTTCACAGGCACCAACCCAAAACAAAGTCAAACCAGGATTATCACCATCAAAAATCCCACAAAAACCCCCAGTATTTATAGAATCCTAGAATCACAGAACAGTTTGGGTTGCGGGGAATTTCAAGATAATACAGTTCCACCCACTGCCATGGGCAGGGACACCTTCCACTAAACCAGGTTGCTCCAAGTCTCATCCAACCTGGCCTTGAACACTTCCAGGGGTGGGAAAGCCAGAATTTTGCTGGATTCCACAACTTCTCTGGGCATTTTCCAAAGAGGAGATGAATACTTGCCTTCAAATTGTCCCAATTGCCCCAGAATGTGACACAGGTTAAGCGCAATGTGTCTTCAACATCCCTCAAGGAAAACTATCCAAGACAAAGGATTAAAACCATTTCAATTGCAATATATACCAAAATATCCATAAAACACATAACTCTAACCACAGTTTGTCCCTAGGTACGCCAGAGCTGTGGTCCCCAGCATCCCACTCCAGAAGCATCTGGAGCTTCGGCCATTACACCCTGTGCTGCCAAGGTGAGGGGTTGGTTGTTTTTTAATGATAAGCTGGTAGGAAGAACAGAAGAAAGAAGGAAGAAAACCTTTCCCTGCAGCACAGGTGGCCCTACCCACAGCAAGGAAGGTGGCATGAGATGAGCTTTAAAGTCCTTTCCATCCCAAACCATTCTGGAACTCTATGAATCCAAACTGTGAGGTTTTAGGCACTAGAAGTGACTTTTCTAGGCATTGCTGTGGGTAGAGGAAGGTGGGGAGAGAGTTTTTGGTTCAGTGCACGCAGCAGCAATTTCAGTTTGACTGCGAGGCAGAGGGTTTGCATTTAATTTGGCTGGGAGTGGAGCAGGGAGCCAGCAAGGGCTCCTTGCAGAGTGGCAAGGGGGTTGTGGGGCCCTGCTGCCCCCAGGCTGCCCTGCTCTCACCTCTGCCTGCTTTGGGGCCCCACATATCATGTTTATTTTTCAACTTCCTCCTTGGAAAAAAATTGCTGCGGGCTTGCTGGTCTGTCCCATCGCCTCCCAGCCCAGCAGGGACAGCAGCCAATCCCCTGTGAGCCCCTCCACAGGAGCCTCAGAGCAGGGCATCTACCCGGTGGGCTGAGAACACTTAAATCTCTCCCAAATTTGCTTTCCTGAGGGCAGCGGTGCTTCACCCACCCTGACCCCTCTCTTCTCTCCCCGTGGAGTGTGGATGGCAAATTGAGGGGCCCATAAAGGGCAGGCAGGGGGTCCCTTCCCATCCCATGGTGTGGGGTGACCTCCCCCTCCCCATGGCAGCCCTTGGCAGCACGGCCTTACCTGTCCTGGTGATCCTGGTGCTGCACCTCCTCCCAGGTGATCTGTGCTCCTCCCCTGCCCGAGGCACCCGCCTCGCCTGCCTCCTCCCTGCCTCCCAAACCCCAGCTGGGAGGGAAAGGTGACCCTGCACACAGAAATCCCCCACTCCTGGGCACACCAGGTGCTTTAATTTGCAGTTTTCTCCCCCAAAAGGAATCCATGATTTGCTGAATTCTGGCTGTCTCAAGGCTTTCCCCCTCCAGATCTTAATGTTCTCAGATTTTGTACAAAGATTAAATTTCCTTCCATCAGAGTTCCCCATTACCAACCTCATGCAGGGTGGGATACAGGGGAGTTGTGTGAGGCATTACCCCCCACTCCCAGTGCTTGCACCCCTCATCCCCAAAACACTGCATTAATTATTAACCAGATTAACTCCTTCAAAGCACTTCATTTTCCATTTTCCATGCTTCCCAGGTTTGATGGATGCCCCTCCTAGGATACACACCCATAACCCATGTTTCAACTCCAAATGCAATTTTCTGACCAGGCCTCCTATAAAGCTGGAGTTTATCTTTAACAATACTTTCCACTTTCATCTCCAGTCTTGCAAGTGCTTTGCAAATGTTAAATAATTAACCCTCATTACACCCTTGGGAGGGAGAGAAGCGTTATTATGGCTATTTGTAAAGGAAGCTCTGACAGGGCCTTCTGTGCTCCAGCCCTGGGTTTTACTCATTTTAGGGAGCAGTGCAGCTACTTACAGCACTGAGAGCAACTACTCCTGCCACAGGAAATTTGTAGTAAGAAAGCTGGATTTTAATGTTTTAAATATATTTGGCCTGATTTATAAATGTCTTGAGGTTCAGAAGAGCTATCTGCCAACCCTGTCTTTTTCTTTTATTATTATATCACTATTTTGATTTATTGACATCAAATCTATTCCCTCTCCTTGTCCCACAATGTTGTTTAAACAGATGAGTTCTTAAATAAATAATAAATAAAGAAAAAAAATTTGTCAGTTAATCCATCCTTCTCACCTCCCAGAGAGGTAAATGCTGCTGGAAGGGAGGAAGCATCCCACAGTCATCCTTTTCTTTTATCAGTGATGGTGTTGGATGCCCAAACCATCTGTGTTTTTCAGATGGAAAAATTCAAATTTTCTAGAGGCAAAAGCCATGCTGCAGGTATTTCTTGTCTCTTCATTAAATTGTTTCACAAATGTCCCAGGAGCCTGATGATGTTTTGTGTCCCACAAACCCTGGAATATATCAGAACTGAGGGGTTTACATTCACCTTGCTCCAGGCATGTAGAAGGATTTACCAGAAATTTACCAGCTTTACCCAGAAAACTACTCCCAAAACTGAGGCTGAGGAATAAATGGAAGAAAAACAAGTGTTGAGATGGAGGGCCTGGGAAAAATGAAGAATTATTTAGCCTGGGAGTTGCTACAAGTTCATGAAAAAAACGTCAAGAGATTTCCAAAAATGCCAATGAGACCCAAAAAGATGCCATGGAAAAATCTTGGTCATGAATTATGAACTTGCTGTAGCTGTCACATAAGAAAGACTGAGTTTACCTAAAAACAAAACCTTTTGTTAAACGTGACTCTGAAATGGGAGCTTGTTCCCACCCAAAGCTCTGCTGAGTCATGTTAGTGTTTCTTGTCTACCAGGAAATTTGCACCTTCAAATATTTGCAGAACAAAATCACAGGGTGTGTAGCGGGGTGGATCTTACTCCAAGGAAACAAATAACCTCTCTGAGTGTATTTATTGTAGTAAAGACCCTCCCTGAGCTGGGGTTACTCAGAAGTCCAGCAGAATATTTCATTTCCAAGTGGACCTGAACAGTCATTTCCTGATAAGACACATCAAAACCTGACATCATTTTCAACTTATATCCATAATTTCCTAAAGCTCAGCCACTCTTAAATTCCTTAGACATCCTTGAAACCACATGTAAATTCTTCAGATATATGTCCAGTTCAGGCTCTCACCATCCACAGGCACTGGGCTAACAGTGGAGGTAGGAATTCTGGTCAGCACAGCACATCCAGCTAATAAACCAGTCCTGATCAGCAACTTTTCTAAATATTACTGCCTTCCCATTAAATCAGTCCTGAAAAAAAAATTCAGAATTCCTATGCTAGGATTTTTTGAGGCCTCAAAAAAGCTCTTTTGTATCCTGCCCATCTCTAATTTTCCACCTCCTGATGTCTGTTTTCTCCCTGCTTATCTCACACAGAACTGTGGCTCCTAAACATATCCACAGGAGACCTGGCAGCAAAGAACACCCTGGCAGTCTCTTCACGTCAACACGCAAAGCTGAAAATTACCAAGAAAACAGGAGTTTGCCTCTCTGGGAATCGTCTCAGTATGCTGTCTGGTTAGACAATACCTGCAGTCTCCATGGATGCAGCTTGGGATGCAGGCTGGAGCATGCCACGGGAGTGATGCTCAGAACTAACAGCTCAGAGAAATGGGGGAAATGATGGAGTGTCAGAGCCAGGAAATTAGTTCCTGCATTTTCCTGTGCTGGCAGAGGGGACGGGTGAAGGAGTCATTTGCCACGTGGCCACGTATCCAGAGAGAAGAGCTGCACAGGCTGCCTGCAATTTTAAGAGACAGGAAAATAGGAAATCAAGCTGGCACACTGGCCAGACACTGATATTTGTCTGGTCCCTTGCTGGAATATCGATGTATTTTCCAACCAAAATGATGATGCCTCATTTTCCTTCCCCTCCTCCTAAACCCACAAATCTTGCCTGTGTAATGCAGGCAAAAGGTTTTGTACTTAGATCCTCCCATTTCTAAGGGAGTCACCTCCTGGTGGCACCTCCTTAAGCCTTCCTGGTACCCAGGAAATGATCCCTCACAGCATCCTCCCATCTCAGTGTTGTTTGTCACCTGAGTGCTCACCCATCGTATGCAACCCAGATTTCCAGTGATTCTGAACTACTTTGGAGCAGGGGAAGGGGCAGAGACCTGCAGCTGCTCCACGGTACCATCACCTAAATTTATTCCTCTCCATGGACAACTTCAGTCCCCACATACAGGAAGATGTGGAGTACAAAGAGCCCTGGGGAGGTGGACAAGTGACCCGCCAGACTCTGCCCAAAATGTGACCTAATTCTTGCAAATGCCCTGTTCCCACACAAAGAGGTTGAGGAAGGAGTTTGCTAGATGGCAAAAGGAGGAGATGAATAAATCCAATATGGCACATCTGTAGCTGTGGAGAGCAAACAGCATCTATGCACAGCCAGGAGGAAAAGGGACGGCTTTGGGTGAGAATGGGGCAAGGAAAGGTGACATAAGCAAAGACAACCCCCAGAAATGTCTCTGTCACAGCCCTGTGAAAAGATCTGACACCTCAGCTAGGTAAGAACAGGCAAGAATTAAAAGCCGGGGGGCTCAGCCCTGATGTGATTCCAGCTGCATCAGTTCCAGCTGGATGTCAGAATTAAAGCATGCTTGGACATGGCAAAAGCATTAATAGGGGACAGAAAAAGAAATTTGTGTAGCCAGATTAAAGAAGAGGAAGAGAAAGAGAAGGCAGAGCATGAGAAAACAGTGACAGGCAACTGAGAGGTAGGCTCAGGGAGAGGTGGTGAAAGTTAAAGATGAAAACAACAGCACCTAAAAAGAAGCACAAAGTGGCCAAACTGTGGGAAATCTTAACAGGATAAAAAAAAAAAAAAAACTAACTCACAGTTGATGAGCAGTTTAAAAAAAAAAAAATGGGACCACAAGGAAATGCGCCCCTAAAACACCTCAGAGTGGAGAGTGGAGAGTGACCCAGCCGGGAGAGGTGCAGAGGAGCTAGGCATTCCTCAGGGCTGTGCCATCAACATTGTCCCCGGGAGCCAGGCAAAATTAAATCTTCACATCCTGGGAGGTTTGTTTTGGGGATTTCCCCCCTCCATCCAGCTGGCGTTCAGCAGTGATGGAGCAAGGGCACATCTCGGTGGCAGAGGGAGGAATATCACCTCCCCAGCCAGGCTCGACCTTGCTACCCATACCCAGATCATCTACTAAAACCAGAGGAATTTGGGCGGAGGAATTTGTTCAACACCTGAAGCTGGAAGAAATGTCTCTGAGTGACAATGAGATTACTGGGGACATAAAGCTGTGAGGAGCCAGAAGGTTCCTTGGTGGGTAATTTCATCTGAAAAGAGAGAAAATCAGTTTATCATCTTGACATGTTAACACTGAGACCTTTGCTTTTGAAATTAGAATTGGGAAGTGTCATCCATACTGATACTTAATTGTTTTTCCTCCTTGTAGTCATCATCTTTACAATCTTCCTCCCTCTTATCCTCCTCTCCAGCACTCCTGCTCCAGCTAAATTTCCCAAGTAAATATTTATAATTTCTGCTATGTTTCATTTAATTTTCAATCCTAACAGTTGAATTACCTTTAAAAAATACCATGAAAAACCATACCTAGGGTTAGGGAAGAAGAACAAGTTCAAAACCTGGCATTTCTTGATCTTTAAGCAGCAGAAACACAGCTCTGATAGGCTGCAAACCAGCATCTCACTCACTCTCTGCAGAAGCAACTTTGGATGTCAAAGCAATCCGGCCTTCCTGTAAGTTCATCCCCATAGAGGAGGATGCTCTGAGAAGCAGGTGCTGAAGATTTTGGGAGCGGTCTTCACGCCTGAGAGCTTGCACGGGAGATTTGTGTTGTGAAACGGCTGAAGAGAGGTGGGAACTGGGGTTGGAAGGGTTCCTTGTGGATGTTGGTATGTGGGACGCCGCCCCAGCCTTGGAGTCCAGCTACCACACGATGACCAGACGTGTTCCGGATGTGCAGAACGGGACCCCGGGAATATTTGGGAACACTAGGTGGTGCTGAGGGCTCACGGAAAGGATCCCGTTCTGTCACAGAGGGATGCTCCGGGTCCGAGGGGGAAGGCCTGAGCGGGGCAGGGGGAGGGGGCAGGCGCTGCAGCCCCGTTTTGGGCTTGGCTGGGAGCCCAGCTCCAGGTGTGAGAAGCTCCTTGTGTCACTTTTTCACATTCCTCCCTCTCCGGAGGCACTTGGCCAGCAGCTAGACTACTGCACTG